TAGTCTTATTTTTTATATTCTTTAAATAGTGTAAATTAGTATTGTGTTAACTTTTGGTTTCAAATAGTATAAGTGTCTTCTACAATAACATAAATTTTATTAATCGTGTTAACTTCTGGTTTCAAATAATATCAATGTCTTTTACAATAACATAATTTTTGTGCTACAATAGAACAAAAAATGAAACTAAAGTTCTTCAATTATACCCATAAAGGTAGAAAATGGTGAAAATATTCAGTTGCAACTAATCAAATAAAATAGATATTTTATATTTAAATTAAATGAAATATAATATCAAAAGTAATAATTCATATATAAATTATAAATTAATAACTATAACAAATCAAAGTCACTATCCGCGCGTAGCGCGGAAAAATGATCTAGTAAAGTATAATTCTTAGAGAGTGGCAAGCGCTGAATAGCTATTAGTTGTGACAAAAATAATGTGGCTTTATGACTCATAGATAATGGTAAACGACGTTACACAGGAGAGCAAGTAGAGTTGATAACGGCTGAGGTCACATCGATAGTGATGAAGAAAACAAAGAGGGAGATAAAGCGTTCGATGGTGCTTGGGTTTACAGTAGATTTTAGGTCTCTACATGGGCTTTTCTGCAAATAAATTTATATGGGCACTTGTTCTGAAAAGGCCTTACATCAAGAATTTTCAATCGGACTTTGGATCAGAGAAAGCGCATAAAACGTGTAATTGATGCTGAGATGTCATAATCATATTGGTGGATTTATTTTGTCGACGTGGATAGTCTAAATGAGCAGTGCATTCCCCTTTTATTATTGTTTGATTTTACTATGTAATATAGTTAACATGGAGACGTAATCGTATAATAATAATTTACTAGGTTAATATCTGTGGATATGCACAGAATAAAAATTATATAAATAAATTATTTTATGTCTTATTCTTATTTTTTTATAATTTTATATATTATAAAATAATAAATGTATATTGAATAATTGAAAAATCTGTAACTATTATATATACAATTAATTTAACGAGCACTTAAATAAAATAATCATATTTTTTTATTTATAATCACTTTATATAATTAGTAAATCTAATTAATAAATTATATTAACACACACACATATATCTATTTATATAAAGGAGACTTTCATCTCTCCTACCTCTGCCACATCACTAATTCATTCCATCAGGGGTGGACACGTGTACAATAGTTAAACGGTACGTATGATTTGTTGGACGCAAGATGGGCTTTCTATGTTTATGTGTTAATGGGCCAATGTTATTTTCTTCGGTGGTATGTATCATTGACAGAGTCGTCACTTTCCTCCTGAGAAAAATAGGGTTCTTCGTCAAAAAGATGGTAGCCGCCATCAAACTCTGCAATTGATTTCTGTGTGACGATTCCTTTTGCCCTTTAGAGATGAGTCTCCATCAAGCATTGATAATCGCATTTACTACTCTCCCATGATCTATAATCATTATCTTCTTATCTCCTATAAGACGGTGGAAGAAAGTGTATATATACTTTCGTTTCTATCCTCTCAGATTCATTCACAAACCTCTCACCATCCTAAATTTTCTTTTGATGGCTTTATCGACAGTTTTTTTATCCGACCTGAAGGCTGGCCGTTGCTCCTCCGCCGTCAAGGTGCGATTGTTCCGGTTCTGGGAGGGAAGGAATCTTGATCAACGGGAACTCATGTGCATCAACATGCTTTTGATCGATGTAAATGTAAGAAATCTTTTTTTTTTTAATTCCAGAAACCTATGAAAACTATTTTTCACACACATTGTCTTCTCAATCTCCGTTGTGTTTTTTTTTAAAAAAATTTCGAGAAACCGATGAGATAACTTATTCCGACACACTGCCTTCTCATTGTCCGTTGTGCTTTAGATCTGTATTTTTTAAAAAATTCAGAAACCGATTAGATAAATCCTTCCGACACACCGCCTTCTCATTGTCCGTTGTGTTTTATGTTTCTATTGCAGTCCACAATTATGCAAGCTAGCATCAATGCCAACCGTGTGCCAGTTTACTGGCCAAAACTCGCCGCCGGTTCTATGTACTCCCTCTCCGGCTTTGATTTTTGTCGCTGTGCCCAGGAATTCATGCTAAGCGATTCCTATTTGCATGAGCTTAACGCTTCAGGTTAATATACATCCGTACTTCTGGCATTATGAAATAAGAAAATCAATAGCGGTGGTTAATCCAGCTTATGGTTTGGTTATCTTCAGATCTTATCGGGTTTAATTATTTTTGGCTTTGTTTGTTTAATAGAAAAACTGAAACGTAATACTTCGTATTCAGTTGGTTTGTGTTCGATTTTAGTTTTGGATTTTTAGAGTTAGATTAAGGTTGGCTTAGTTTGAAATAAAGTTGAAGATACATTTTCTACAAAATCTTTGATGCTGATTCGATCATCTTTTTGTTTTAGCATCTGTAACTATGTGAACATCAGTAATTTTAAGCGATTATTGACTTTAGAATATAGGTATACCTTAAGTTACTTTGTAGTTAATATTTTTCTGCGACATTCACCGTATAATTTATACAACTCCTTTACCACTTGAGCTGTTAAAGATGGTCACCTCTCCAATCCTGCTTTCCATCCTAATATTTGGTGTGCTTCTAAGACGGTTTTGATACTGGTTCTGCGTTTTTGGGAGGCAGAACGTCAAGAAAAGTGGAGAACTCATGGGGTTTGACTTACTCCTGATTAGTGAAAAGAGGTACGCATTTATCTTCTTCTTCTTTATATAATATGACTATTTGATTCGGTTGTGTTCTGTTGTTTGCTAAGAAGCAAAATCTAAAACAAATTTCACTTGATTTTAAAACTGAAAAATCAGTTGGTTTACAAACAAATTACATTTTGGGTCTTAGCTTTGTCTCTACCAATTAATGATAATCAAAGATCATTTGTATTTTTGTATATTTGGCTTAAGCATAATAAAGGAATACATGGGTACTCGAAAAGCTGTGACCTGAGTTGGAGAAAGTCATGAAAATGCTTGAAGGAGTCGACACCTTTAAAGGCAAGGGAATGATTTCAGAAGTGATCAGAGTCTTGGATGTTTCGGCTTTGTCGCCGGTTGTGGATCTTGAATTTGCATTGCAATTTGGAGCAACACTCTGTTTCCCCTGTATAATGTCAACTAATATAACCATGACGTTTACGTTCAGTATACAAGTGAAATTCCAATTATTAAATTTTTTTGTAAGATGTAATAACCTTTTCGGTTCTTTAATATACATATATGCATTGGATTAATAATAAGAGATGTAAGATATAAAACTCTATGTTTAATTCTTTGCTTCTTTTAGACAAGAATCATTTAGATATATGCTTTTATAATTTTATAATAGATGATTTTAAAAGCATATTATCATAACAACACCAACAAAGTCTACCATCAACAGGTATGTATATATAGACTATGTTTCCAGTTATTTTGTTTAATTCAATACGAGAGTATAATAAGCTCATTCTGTTCAAAACCAAGGCTCAAGAACACCCTCATTAACAACAACACCCCACTCTTCACACGATTTTCATTGAATAACGTATCCTTTACTTTCATTCTGTGCATCTTCGAGTATAAATATGCAACTCTTATCCAGTGAAATTCATCAGTTTAATCCTCTCAATCGTTAGATTTTTAAATTTCCATAGATAAGAATGGCTAACTGTGCTCTCCTCCTCGCTAATCTGAAATCTGTCCGTGATCTACTGATTAGGTTTTGGCAGGCGAGAAATATGAAGCGCAGAGGAACCCTTATAGGTGTACACCTTCTCATCCTCGATGCAAAGGTGATTCCGCTGAGAAACTTCTGATCATCAAACTATTTCTTGAAAAGATTGAGTTTACCTGTTTGTTGCCGTATTTGTAGGCGACTCTCATATAAGCCACCGTCTGGTTCATGTTCGGTGAATACTTCTTAATTTACAGGTTAGACAGCTCCTCAAAGCCTCCGTTGAGGACACGAGAGGGATTAAATATCTGAGATTACACATTAAAGTAATGCTTACTCACTCAGGTAACTTCTATTGTGATTGCATCAACATTTATGTCATTGTGATTACTTGATAGTTTCCACTACAAAACCTAGCTGACCAACTTTAACTCCATATATAGCCCAAATAGTGTTCGTTCATTATTCTTTTGTTATTTAAACTTAGAAGCTTATACATCCAAAGAGTTGTCTTAACTGATAAATGCTTTCACTCTTTATTTTTTTCTATTTAATTTGTGATTTATAATTGGTCAATCCATTTCCACGCCATTCACAGCAAGAAAAAAAAATAGAAAGGGGATAATGAAAAAAAAAACAACATTACACATTCGGGTTCAACAAAAGTTTTGGCGTTTGAAATCTGAATCACTAGCAAATGTAGTTTGAAGACAATGGAAAGAACAACAAAAACATCATGTAATTCTATCTTACAGTCTTATCATTATTATCTCCACACATTTGTGATTTGTTAAATTATAGTTTATTTGCATATTTTGTTTACTTCATTAGTATTATTTTTAACACACATTCTCTCTATAAATATGAACAGTTAAGTAAGCTTATGAACTCATCTTAAAGAATACTGATGATAATTTTATGTTGCAACAATTTCCTATCCAGTACATTCATATCACGAAGATGCTTTCTTAGATTATATCTTAAATTTGTTCTACACATGATTAGGAATATCAAAATATAACAATCTGAATATTTTATATATGTTACTCACTGACAAATGTACTTCATATCAGAACATATACAGTCTCTTCATTACAAGAAAAAACAAACAAAAAGTAAGCAGGTTAAAAAAAGGTGTTTCAAGAAAAAAACGAAAATAAGTTATTGCTCCTAATTAATGATGCTCCAACAAACTTATAATATTTCAAAGTTTTAACATAAAAAGGTTTTTACCTATTTTTGGCATATGCTCATGGTTTCTGTAAATAGAGTATTCATTTGAGTCATCACAAACTTAACAGGAATCATGATATCTTATACCAGGATCCAAATTATTGATAGATAAATACTTAAATTTTTTGTTAAAAACTAAGCACATTGATGCTAATTTTAATTTAAAAATATTAAACATTGAAAATAAAATTATACAATTAGTTAATTTATTCGCCCGCTCGTAGGGCGGGTTTACCCTAGTATATATATATATATATATATATATATATATATATATATATATATATATATATATATATATATATATATATTATACTTTTAATTTGGATATCTAATAGATGAAGCTTCACACTTACATGGTTTTACGATCATTTGTATATTTTTATAATAAAAAATTAAAATAATGATAATACCATTTTTAATGTGAGAGATTTAATATTGACAGTAATTTATCATTGTTTAAAAAAAAATTCAAAGTCTGTCATTAAAGTATTAAGTTCTTAGTACTTGTTCAATGCAATTTTGGAATTAAATATTTATGTATTCTTAAATGGTATTTAGTTTAATTTAAACATCACTAAATATATATATATATATATACATCTATTTTAAATATCTATTATATATATATATATTAAATGATATTTCTTACTCATTAATTATATAATTGTTTGTATCATGCTATAACAAAAATTTAAACTATTGATCAAAAATATAGATGTGAAATTTTTAAATTTTTATTAATTTATAGTCAATTTTTAAAATTCAAAAATATAACATATATAAGAAAACCTATTTTTTTGTTATATAGTTATTGTTATTGTTTAATTTATTTTAACAATATAAATTTAACAAAAAGAGTAGAGGGTATATAGTTTTTTATCAAATCTTTCATATTCAAATCATTAATTGTCATATATATATATATATATATATATATATATATATATATATTATAACCATATTAGGTAATTTCGTAAATTTTCTTTAAGGCAATAATGATTAGCATTAATCATAATTTTATGCTTTAGTTTAATAAAAAGTATATTATATATTTATATGGACCAACATTTTTCTCTAGTAAATTTGAGAACATTCTCGTGATGATACATGGCTACCAAAGCATGTTGTAATGTTTCTCAATTAATATATATAGGGGATATATACATCTATGAATAAAATGGTGTCAATCTTTTTTTCTCTTTTGAAATGTGTAAGTCATAATATTTTCGATTTTGATCAATTTTCACCCATACAATATTCCAAATTTCATAAATTTCAGAATTTTTACAATTTAAATTTATAAGAAAATATCTAACCGCAGTTATGAAAATCAACATGACACATATTCATATAAAAGAGCAAATTATATTTAATATCTTATGGTTGAAGTTTTTACGGATTATTTTATTCTATTAAAAATGCAAATATTATAATAATTTTAACTAATACAACATATAATTACTTAATCTTAATGCTAAATTATAAAAAATTGAAATCGATGGAACATGTATAATTATTATATTTTGATTCTTGGTTATAAATGTATATAAATTATTTGTATGTTACAAAACCCAATAAATGTTATATTGTTTAATATTATTATGTAAGATATAAAATAGTATAAGTCAACACAATATATATTAAATATATTTTTTATTAAAATGTAATAATTTTACTTTATAGTGCAAGTTAGCTGCTAACTTAAAAGAATAAATCTAAACTATTAAAACTGATTCTGGAATGCCAGGATGAGAGAGAAAGGTAAATATAGGCATCAAATCTCTAGGTTGGATACAAATACGTTCATTTTGGTCTTAGACATTGGAATTAATTAGGTATTTAAACATTTTTGGTATGATTTTGGGTTGGTTTCTTTCGGATCGGGTTCATAATTCAAATACATGTAAATTACCTGTAATGTTTAGGTACAAATGGATCCATATCGATTGGATATTTAAGATCCAAAAAGTCTTAAAATACTCGAAACCTAAATAAAATATCCCACATGAAGTTACATCTGAAAACTCAAATAAATATTTTTTCGATAGCTTTGGTGCCGGGAGGAGTATAATAGCCAGGGGGCCGAGCAAGAGACCTCCAATAACAAAATATTACAACATTCAAAATAACTTAAAATTTAATCTGAAATATGACCCGAGACCCAATAGGTACTTTTCTCAGGATCCGGACCAAACCCGAAAATGTATCTTTGTGTCTGTTTTTG